TAGATTCTTTGTTTAGCAGGTCTTACTTGACAGAGTGAACACTATGGATTGCGTCTTGAGACATTCTTTTGTGGTGGTGGGGTTGTTTTGGTGTGTGTAGTGTAAGAAGGGTGCTGAAGACCTCAACCATTTGTTATAGAATTGTCAAATTTTCCGTACTATTTGGGATTGTTTCTTCCAGCAGTTCCATCTCAGTTTGGCTAGACCTAGGGGCTCGGATATGATAGAGGATGTTATTCGTAATCCTCCCTTTTGTGGTAAGGGTCGAATTCTTTGGCAGGTGGGTTTTTTTGCTGTGATCTGTGGTCGCTGGTTGGAAAGGAACAACATGATTTTTAGAGATCTTGAGGGCCCTCCCGAGAGGTTGATAAACCCCAAATAATATAAACTTAAGATTTAAGAAGGGGTTAGCACAAAGAATGTGAGGTGTGGAGGATTAGGAAACAGTTAGGGAAAATATTTTATGGGAAAGGAAATAAACACAACTAATGATTGAGTATTAGATAATCCTATTTTGGTTGGATTGAAGGAGAGATTGGAATGCTCTTGGAACTCCTTTCTTGCTGTTATACTTGATGAATCAACAAACAGCAATTTTTATTTCTAATCAGTTTCTAGAATTGAATTAAATTTTTGTTATTCACTTAGTCTTCATTTGCTTTTCTCTCTCTCTCTCTCTCACTATATGTGTGTGAATTTTTTGTTTGTTCTCAGCATCTTCACTTGCTTTTTTCCTGTCCTGTTTTATCTGACCTTCATCTTGGTTCAAAAGAGAACTTGTAATTACCAAGTACCAACGTCTAAACGACTTTCTTCCCAATAATTAAAATACTCTTATGCAATATGGTGTCAGACGATTTGTGGCTATAGGTTATATTTTAGCAGTGAAGTCATGTCATTTATAGGTTAATGAAGTTTAGAAACCAGGCTTTTGTGAACACTTCTTCAACGTGTTTCTGGTTTCTTTTCACATAGTTTTAGCCTGCATGAATGCAAGCTTTTGAATCTTGGGACTGTTCTCAGTATTGTTGATCTTTCTATTAGATACGAACATTGGGAATGTTGAGGTCTCGCTTTCAAACACTTCCTGGTGCTTTTAATGCCTGCTTGATGCCTATGGAAAAGAAGGAGCATACTAGAAAGAAGGGGTTGATGGCCACTTTAGGTCGAAAATTTGATGAGGTTTGGTGCTACCACTTGAACCAGATATGTAATATAATGACAATATTTTTCTTTATTGAATGAAAGGATTATTTGCCTTACTGAGATGGTCATGAATTAGATAACGCCTGATAGAGATGATCAGGCTGCGAAGTTTGCTCAAATGTGGAATGAAATAATTAGTAGTTTCAGGGAGGAGGATCTTATAAATAACAGGTGAAATAAATATCCAATGTGTACATTTGAGACTTCACATTTTTATTTGATCAATCCCAAGTTCTTAATTTATCTCATTTTTTTTTTCCAGGGAAATGAACCTATTGCTTGTGCCCAACTGGATTGACCCTGATTTAGGCCTTATCCAGTGGCCTCCCTTTTTGCTTGCTAGCAAGGTGATATATCTTGGCCCACTTTTTTTTCCCTATGAATTGTGCTTAATCTGTTATATGTTTATCTTGTCCTTGTTATGTAGATACCAATAGCGTTGGATATGGCTAAAGATAGCAATGGAAGAGACAGAGAGCTCAGGAAGAGACTGAATACAGACAATTATATGCTTTGTGCTGTTAAAGAGTGTTACGCATCCTTTAAAAATATAATTAATTTCTTGGTTCTCGGGGAACATGAGAAGACGTAGGTTTATTTTAAATAAAATTGAAGAAGTATGTAACATAGTCAATTTTTGTATGGTTCTCTAATTTTCTGTTTATTTTCTGTATCCAGGGTAATGGAGGAAATCTTCGCCATAATTGATGAACATATTAAAAAAGATGATCTGATAACTGCACTAGATATGAGTGCTCTCCCTATTCTATGTGGACAATTTATAAAGCTGATTGAATATATGGTGATTCTATCAACTATATAGCATTGTTATTTCTATTTCATTCATTGTTTTAGTTCTTATTATATTTCATTGCTGCAGTTAGCAAATAAAAAGGAGGACAAGGATCAGGTTGTAATTGTCTTGCTGGATATGCTAGAGGTTGTGACAAGGGATATAATAGATGATGAGATTCACAGGTATGTCTTATAGCTAGAATTGCCTTTATTCTGTATCATTGTTTCCATTTATTCTTTTCCTCCCCTTTCTGTAGTTTGGTTGAGTCAAATCATGGTGGATCCTTTGGAAAAGATGGGAGAACGACTCCCCTCGATCGGCTTTTTGACCAACTGAAATTTCCAATTCCAGAAACTGAAGCTTGGAAAGAAAAAGTAAGTTCCCTGTGATATGTAAGCTTGAGACTAAATGTTGTATTGATGAACCAATCACATATGGATTTTGTTTTAAAATGTTTAGAGATCTGGCGTAAAGTTGGTTAAGTAATCTTTCTTCCAGCTACTTGTCACTTCTAAGTTTTCACTCTTCTCTCTGTAGAAATATGAATAAATTTCTCCCTTGCTTAACCTATAACCATTTGCAGATTAGAAGACTTCATTTATTGCTTACTGTTAAGGAATCAGCTATGGATGTGCCATCGAATTTGGAAGCCAGGAGGCGTATTTCTTTCTTCTCCAATTCTTTGTTCATGGAGATGCCCCCTGCTCCAAAAGTTCAAAATATGCTGTCGTTCTCGTAATATGTCTCGACTTAAAAACTTTTAAATAATGAATACATTGCACAACTTACGTTAAACTATTGCCATAGTACTACTGATTATTGCTTTGCTGAATAGATTTGAGGGATTTAGGCCTCTAAAGAATGCTCATATTTTTGTTCAATTTCTCTGGTTATTTCATCTTTCACATTTTATATAAATACAATTCACCTGTCATCTTTCCATTTTTTTCCCTCTGTGTTTCTGCTACAGTAAGGAAGTAGCTGGTGGTAATATTTTTGGTAAATTTTCATTTGATTCTGTACTAATGTAATTTCCTTTTTCTTGGCCTAGTATTCTTACACCCTACTACTCTGAAGATGTTCTCTTCTCTATAAATCTTCTGGAGTTGCCAAATGAAGATGGAGTGTCTATTCTTTTCTACTTGCAAAAGATATTTCCAGGTTCTTTCCACTGACATAAAATTTTGCTCCTCTTGGTGTATTATATATTTTTGAAGTTCCACTTTTATAAGGCTTATAATTTGAATAGATGAATGGACAAACTTTCTTGAGCGAGTCCAGTGCATTAGTGAAGATGAGTTGAGAAGTAAT